TATATATATATATATATATATATATATTCCAACATACTCTCAATAGACTGTCATTATATGTTTTATTATACCAATTGTTTTTCTTGTTGATTTTTAGATTTAATCATTTGAATCTTAAACAATTAATATTAACAAATCATAATTATAGATTTGTTTGGTAAACTAGTAAAAGCTTACATAGTTTCATTTTATGTTGGGATGTTATTAGATCGGTTTATCAGATTTCAGTTTATTTCATTTTGTTTAATCAATTTTTATAGTATCTTCAAACTAATTGTAAACAAACCAAATAAGATTGACTTAAATTTATTTTTTGCGTTATTTGGTTTGGTTTACTTGGTAAACAACGTTTTTTTTGAATCGTCATTGGACTGCCATCTAAAAGCTTATGACATGTTAAGATGGTGTTCTAAAGCTGAGTAACGATGTGTGGAGATTTTCCGTGGATTATCGAGGACTCAACACCATCACCATTGAAGAGAATTTCCCTTTCATGAGGAATTGCTTAATGAACTACATGGTAGCAAGAGATTTTGAAGCTTGATTTTGCTTAAAATTTCCTTTGCTTGAAAAAATTTCTTACTAAACGGACATTTTCAAAATGGATCTAAGATAGCACTTGCAATTAACAAGGCTATCATCCTCAGACAATACATTGATTCCAACTTTTTCGGTGTGTTATTGGCTTTGACTTATGTAGATAAAAAATGATGAATAATATTGTGGCAATGCACTCGCTGCCAATGCGAACGGATGACGCCGAAAAGTATGGAAAACTCTTTAGCTAATAAAAGCGTTCCATTCAACTTGTGCTTGTTTTTTGGAAACGGCGGAATTTTATTTAAAAAAAGAAGCCACTACCTAAAAGAACACAGCAGGCAAGAGAAAAGAAACAGAAAAAATTACAAAATGTTGAAAGGACAAATATACCAAGTAGCTGAATTACAATTTCCAAATTTACCCCTATGTTTCACCCAACTTGTGCTTGTAATTACTAGAAAATTGAGATAAACGTAATGGCCTGTTATTTGTTTAAAAACAATTGTAAAAGTATGATTATCTATAACACTTTTTAGGATTAATCAATGTGTTCCATGCTTAAAGAAGAATAAACATGTTATGTAACCCCCAAGTCCCAACTAACGAGCTCCATCATTGGGCTGGTAAGTCAATATTGTTAGTTTTACGTTATTATTTGTTACCCACTTATTCAAATCCGTTTATTTTAACTTCAACTAATCAAAACATTATAATCACATCCTAACAATAAAACCCAATAATCACCTTAAACACACATCCATGATCCAACACCCCTTTGTTTAGCAACTTCATTATAATTATTACAAACTTGTAACCTTACATGATGGTGACAAGTGTAAACAGCATTTCAGCTTTTGAAATATCATCAAATCTACTTTTTTCGAGTATTAATAGTTGCTCGTTTACAACATGGAACAGAAAATGAGATAGAATTTAACAAACCACATAATGTAACACCTTCTTATTTCGTGATATTGCTTAAATTCGAGGAGTGCTTTAACTTATATATAATAATAAGAAACACATTTTAAGCTTAATTTATTAATATTCAGCTAGTCCTCAAAACTCAAATCTCACCATCCCAGAGTTCCTCAACTGTTTTATACTCACCATAACTATCATTCACCAAAAAATCACCTCTCACAAGTCTTGCCTGCATCAAAACCAACTTCATATGTAAATAATTGAATTTTATATAACGATTCAGATAAAGCAAAAAGGAGAAATCTTGCCTGTTCGATTTTAGACAACTCTGTGAACAAATCATCAGGAATCAACCAATCAAAAACTGCAAAATTCTCTTTGATACGCGCTTCATTTGTACTTTTGGGAAGAACACTATGACCCATCTGTAAACCCCAACGTATGGCAACTTGTGCAGGAGTCTTCCCTAATTTATCTGCAACTGATGTCAAAATTGGATGCTCAAGCACATTGCTCTTTAGCCATTTTGTCCCAGGTGAACCAAGTGGTGAGTACCCCTGAATATTTATTATTCAAATCAAAATCAAAATAAGACACTTGTTGAGTTGTTTCTATCTGACTTAATACAGAAAGAATGACTTAACAGAGAAAGCCATGTTTATGATGACTTACTGAGAGATGAACGCCTTTAGATTTACAAAACTCCCTCAATTTGGTTTGATGCCATGAAGGATGGCATTCAACCTGATTCACAACAGGGGGAATGCGGGCCACCTTCAACAAATCTCCCAATTTTTTTGAAGAAAAATTGCTAACACCTAAACCTCGTGTCTTCCCTATATCAAACAATGCTTCCATTGCTTTCCATGTGGCAGGTATGTCTGTTTTTAGCAGATTTTCAGGTTTGAAGCCAGCTGTCCCTTTCTTTGTCCTTACTGGCCAATGAATCTTGAATAGAATCATAGATAGATGGGTTCATTTGGTTAATGATTGAGTGATGATGAAATGATATAAAATTTTGTATTATCAAAGACTCACAAGGTACAAATCAAGATGCTCAATCTGTAAGTCATTCAGAGTTTTCTCTAATGCAATTGGTACATCTTCAGGGGCATGATTGTTACACCTGTAAAGTTTAGGGTTTTGAATATTTAATGAAAGATGGAATTTAAACATACGTACACAAAAAAAAGGATTAGAACAAACCAAAGTTTAGAGGTGATCCATAAATCTTCTCGTGCCACCACGCCATCTTCAAAGAGTTTCTTTAAAGCTAAACCAATCTTGAAAACCAAAAAAGATATACAAGAATTGTTGATGACAGCAAATATAATATGTTTTTATGAACGGAAAAAGGGAAAAAGGAAAAAAGGCAAAATCTTGGCTGATTTGTTATATAGTTTATGTTAGGTAATAGTTACTTAGTTAGGGTTATGTGACAATGATGGAATTTTAGTGAAATTTGCATACCTCCTTTTCATTGCCATAAATTTGGGCACAATCAATGTGGCGATACCCAGCCTGCAGGAGAGAAACATAGTGAGAAGATGATATGCATCATATCATATCATATGTACTTTTACTTTTTCCCTGTGTTTTACTTTTACATATTAATCTATCACTCAAAGCAACAAAAACAAATGCTTCCCCAGTTGAAGGGTTTTAAGAGTTTATTGATTGAATTTGAAACACTACATGATTACAAAGATTTTAATAATCAAGATACCTATTTCTTGCAAGAAACTCTAAATAATTACAAAGATTTTGGATGATATTCGTAACAAAAGTCAAAAACCATATCAATTCTGGACCACGCTAATTCTTTTGACCTCAAAAGTCCAACTTTAACACTCAAAACACCTTTAAGTCTGCATTCATATTTCATAACAAAAAAAGTAATAATAAGAACCACAAAGTGAAGAGGAATCTTATTCTGATGATAGCTCAAGGAAGAAAAGCTACTTAATAGAATTAAGACCATATTTACCAGTCAATAACTACAGACTACTATCAAATCATAGGATGCATTGTTTGGGCAAAATCAGCATCGAGCAAGGAAAACATAGATGAGAAGAGTATTATAGTCAAAAACTTTCTTCGCCGTTTTGGTATTACTTTGACTAAAATCAAAATCTTATTCACGTAGAGAACAAAGGGAGTAGAGAAAGAGGGGAGAACCTTGACGGCAGCAGTGACGGCTTGGCCAACAAGACCAGGTTCCGATTGCCATGTCCCAAGACCTAATGATGGAATCTGAGTTTTGTTTATCAGATCAAAGGATCGAATTTCAGTCGCCATTTTCAATCAACTACTTCGCTGAAAAGTTTAGAGAATAATGGGGAGGACGACACAGATACGGAAATGATGATGATTTTACGCTTAAGGTATATATGCTAAAGATCCACTGGAGTCCGGAACCAGGACCACCACCGTCCACCAACCATCGTAGCGGGCCCACCCCGTCACAACATTGCAAATGGTTACCTTCACAACATTAATGCACATATAATGTTACATAATTATATATTTATAGAATAAACAATTCAATATTAATTACTAGGCGTAAGACTCATGTATTATATGAGTTAACTAAAAAAAATTAAATATAAAAGTTTAAATATTTAAGAATTTTGGATTTATAAATAAAAAAAATGATTTATTAAAATTGATTTTTTTATCTTTTTAATTTAAATAAATAAACAAAATAAACTAATTAACTTTAATTTAGGAATTTTGAAATAAGAAGGTAAGTCCATTAATAAAATTGATATTTATTTATTACTACATTCATTTTAATTATTACATTAAAGTATTATGTGGAGTTTATTAAAATAGAAAAACTCATAAAATGACATGTGGAAAAGAAGTTAATTCAAAATAGTCACAAAATTACATTTGACAAATTGAATGAGAGTGTGACATGTGACAAAAAAACTTTTATTTATTAGAGTAGATTGGAAAAATGATTCTGGAGGATAACTAACTGTTGAGTTTTGTTCTCATTTGGTTCTTTTCCTTTTTTTTGTACCCAAAATATCATCGAACTTGTTGTTTGTGTTCAACATAACCTTTTTGACCGACTATCACCTGTGATAGCCGATCAAAGGGTTATGGTGAACACAAACAACAAGTTCGATGGTATATTGGGTACCAAAAAAAATTAGGAAAGGGACCAAATGAGAACAAACTCAACAATTGGTTACCCTACAATCATTTTCCCTTTATGCATTTACAGAAAATCTCACGTCATCTCCTGCTCATATTAATGACTTTATGAGATTCATTCTTGTTTCTCTTCAAAACATAACCCACAAAAAAGCATTATTCATACATGTACAACTTTGTAATGCACTTGAATATTTATTAGGGGAATCTTGATTAAGCAGATGCATTTCATGACTACATTTACATTTCCAATCAAATGATTTATCATATCATGGATTCTGGACAAGTCTACAAACGAGTGGAATCACAAGTGCTGTGATCTTTGAGTTTACTTGGATTTAAGATCGAATTCATGAGATAAGATACAACATCAATATGTACAAGATCATGCAGCTTTTGCATACACATCACCATAATATACCTTGAGGTAAACGTTTATGTTGATAAAGATACTTATCATACACAGTCATATCCTTTTGCAGAGAGTTGTTGACAACTAACCATAGTAAACATAACATAGACCATATTTTGACGAAGCTACCCCTCCAAAACGCTATTCATGTACGTTATGGCCTAAGAAGGTTGCAGTCTTTGATACTTTTGCAGCTTTAATTTCATTGAACTTTTTGGGGAAAATGACTCAGGAGGGTAACCAACTGTTGAGTTTGTTCTCATTTGGTCCATTTCCTTTTTTTTGTACCCAATATATCATCGAACTTGTTGTTTGTGTTCACCATAACCCTTTGATCGTCTATCACAGGTGATAGTCAGTCAAATGTCGGTCAAAAGGGTTATGGTGAACACAAACAACAAGTTCGATGGTATATTGGATACAAAAAAAAATGGACCAAATGAGAACAAACTCAACAGTTAGTTACCCTCCAGCGTCATTTTCCCTTAATTATTCAAATCACGTTTATTAAAATAAAAAATTATGCATTATTTACATACAGTTTATCTTAATAGTCAACAATGTGATTTTATGTTTTTCGATTTCCTTATCTTCAGAATCATCTTTTTGATAAATTAATTCATCGTATTTTTTTTGTAGGAATTATATTAACATGTATATTTTAATTACTGTATATCATAATTATCTTTTATATATTAACTACTTTGGTCCAAGTCTTCTAACTAGAATTGTAAACGAATCGAACGAACACGTAATGGGGCTTGTTCATGTTCGTTCGTTTAAGTTAGCCGAAAAAATAAACTAACACGAACGGGTTTTCTTGTTCATGTTTGTTCGTTTAACAAATTACATTGTTCATGTTTGCTCGTTTATGTTCATGAACATGTTAAACGAACATAAACGAACGAACTTAAATGAACAAAGATAAACAAATATAATTGAACATAAATTAACATATAATATAATAATGTGATCAAACACAATTAAACATATATGAACATAAAAGAAACTTATATGAACAAACATAAACGAATATCATAAACGAACATTCACGAACATAATTGAACGAACGAGACCATTGTTAATGTTCGTTCATTTAACTAAACGAACGAGAATTTTTGTTCATGTTTGTTCATTAACTAAATAGACGATCATAAACTAACTACCCGCCAAACAGTTCATCGAACGTTCAGTTCGTCTACATTTCTACTTGTAACCTAATATTGTTACATTGTCTTTGTATCTATAAATTTACTATACTATGTAATTTCTTTTATCATATATATATATATATATATATATATATATATATATATATATATATATATTTCAATTTTCAACTAATTAACCGTTATAATTCATATTTTTTTCAATTATTCGTTGAAATGACCATGTAATGTGATAAAAAAAATACCATCAAATATAGGGTTGTAAACAAACCGAACGAACACGAACGGATAAACGAACGAGTTTTCTCGTTCATATTCGTTCGTTTAACAAACTGCATTATTCATATTTGTTTGCTTATGTTCGTGAACATGCTAAACGAACATAAACGAACAAACATAAATGAACAAAGATAAACAAACATAATTCAAACATATATGGACATAAATGAACATATAACATAGTAATGTAATCAAATACAATTAAACATATATGAACACAAATGAAGATGTAATATAGTAATGTAATCAAATACAATTAAACATATATGAACATTCAAAGAACTTATATGAAAGAACATAAACAAATATAAACGAACAACATAAACGAACGTTCACGAACATAATTGAACGAACAAGATCATTGTTCATGTTCGTTCTTTTAACTAAACGAATGAGAATTTGTGTTAATGTTCGTTCATTTATTAAATAAACGAACATAAGCGAACTTCCCGCCAAACGGTTCACAAACAGTTCGCTGAACGTTCGGTTCGCTTACAGCCATAATCAAATACCTAGGATGTCAAAAAGTCTCGTGGGACCCTGATCCCATATGGAGGATATTTGTAATAAAAATAAAAAAGAAAAAAGAAAATTGAGGGTGTGGGCAAGTTTAACCCCCGTTTTAATTTCGGGGGCAGGAAGCCGAGGACGGGGTGGGCAGTCCTATCCCGAACCCCAGTAGGGCCCCCGTTAATATATATATATATATATATATATATATATATATATATATATATATATATATATTAATTATACAAATATAATAAATAATAGCAACGATAGTGAGCTTCCAAAATTCAACAAAGAATCTTGTTTTTAAGTTGTTAGTATAATGTTTTTTGAGATGTGATAACATTTTTGTTTTTAACATATAAAATTATGTTATAAATAATTATTTTTAACCCAACAAATAGTCTTCAAGCCCAAAAAACTTCTTTTAGACAATAAAAAAATATCTCAAAATCAATCGGGACGGGAGTAGGGAAATTTCGGGAGCGGAGGAATGGGAAAATTTTAAAGGTGGGGGTGGGAGATACAACCCCGTCTTGTTTACCCCCGTTGACATCTCTACAAATGAACCACTTTCCTCATGAAGAAAATTTGTGATTCTAAAAACGACATTTACAAACATAAAAAAATACTTCTATGATAGAAGTCTGGCAAATATAATATCTTTTTTGTGGACTCAACATTTTTTGTGAAAAAAATAAATATTCTAGCAAGTATAACAACTACTAAATATTTAGTTATACATGGCTGAATTCATGGGTCAACAAAGACCTACGCAAGATCACCAAAAACCATATTCAATACATTTGTCTTCTCTTGAGAAAACCTTAAGGCATAGCAAATTTGTAACACGTAGGTTGAGTTCCCGGTTTGACTCAAGATCCTCAAGATCCCTTCCATCTCTCACTTTAGGGTATATCTCCGTCTATATATACATGTGATGATGTGCTCATCATCACATGTATATATAGATGGAGATATACCCTAAAGTGAGAGATGGAAGGGATCTTGAGGATCTTGAGTCAAACCGGGAACTCAACCCACAATGTAAGTAAATATTCTATAAATCGGTCAATCAACAATTTATATTCTTACCATAATAACTGGATTTAATGATAACATTACATATATATGAAGTGGTCCCATAATTATCTAACAATCTCCCACTGGACCACGA